GATCTTGAATTTTTTAGTGTTGGCGTGAACCAACTTGAGGGGCCGATTCCTCCATCGATATCGAATTGCACAAAGCTAAATGATCTACAACTTAGGCTCTGTTCGTTTGGTGAAAAATATTCTCCCGGAAAATATTTTCCGGGTTTTTCGGTGTTCGGGGGGCGGAAAACGTTTTCCATGGGAAAATATTTTCCTTCCCCCCCTCACAAAATAGCCTAAGTCTATGGAAAATGACATGACTTCCGCTTCTTCAAAAGCGGAAATCATTTTCCGGAGCTTCTTCTTCTTCTTCACTAAGGTAGCCGGCCGCCGGGCTGCCGCCGCCGTCGCCCGCCGCCACCGCCGGTCGCGTGGCCGCCGCCGTCGCCGGTCGCCGGGCCGCCGCCGTCGCCGGCCACCAGCGAAAAATATTTTCCGAAACTTTTTCATATTGGTCGCTGAACACCGGAAAATTATGTTCCGGAAAAACATTTTCCAGAAAAATGACTTCCGGGAAAATATTTTCCAAAAGGAGAATATTTTCCGCCAAACGAACGGAGATGTTAACAGATTTTCCGGGAAAGTACCATCTTTGGAAAATTTGTATGAGCTTGAAACGCTTCAAATTTCTACTAATCAGCTTGGAAGTGGAAAACTTGAAGACTTGAGCTTCCTTTGCTCATTAACTAATAGCACCAAATTGTGGAGTGTGTTTATTGGCGCGAACAAGTTTCATGAGGTGTTACCCAAATGCATAAGTAATTTATCCACTACTCTTACAACGCTTGTTATGAATCAAAACCAGATATCTGGTGAAATTCCAGAAGAAATCGGGAATTTGGTCAACCTGAACGTGTTATCGATGTGTCGTAACCAGCTTTCGGGTGTCGTCCCCTCAAATTTGGGGAATCTACAAAATCTAGCAGTACTGGTTTTGAGTGATAACAACCTGGGAGGGACTATCCCATCTTCTTTAAAAAATCTAACCAAGTTGATTCAACTAGATCTTGGTAGGAACAACTTTCATGGGCAAATTCCGTCGCATCTATCAAATTGCCGGTCTCTTGATCTGCTTGTTCTGTCTAATAACAATCTTAGTGGTGCCATACCCCCACAGCTTATAGGTCAGCTTTGACTGAGTTGGACATCTCAGACAATTTGTTGGTAGGTGAAATCCCAAGTAGTTTGGGTGACTGCACTACATTGACATCATTGAGGATGGGGGGCAACTTTTTTCACGGGTCCATTCCTCAATCAATCATATGGTTAGGAGGCATTGAAGAACTTGATCTTTCACGCAATAATTTGTCGAGTCAAATTCCAGCATTCTTAGCGGTATTTCATTCCTTGAAACTTCTAAATTTATCCTACAATAAATTTGAAGGCATGTTACCACGTGGAGGAATCTTTGAGAATGTTACCGGTGTCACGCCCCGAACTCCGACAAGCGTGCGACACCTCAAGCTCAGTCGAATTAGTGCGACGTCCCAGGAAACGTCGCCGACCCAAACCAACACATCAGAGTTCGAACACGACGGAAACGAGAACATAAACCCTGACAATATAATCATGGGGTAATAGGGAGAGACAAATCACCAAACCACCAAGCACTAAATTACACCGCGATATATACAATATCCATTACAATCCATTACAATCCATCACAATCAGCAACTAACCACTTCATTACACCCACCATATTCACCATAAACATATTATACGCGCAAACCGGCTTCTAAAGTTTGCACCACCAACATCAAAAGGGACCAGTAGTCTGGGTATATACTAACTCCAAAAAGGGGCACTTCAAAAAGGGTTACCCTACCCCTAACTAACCCCTACGGCCTCTAGACGGTGTCCACTCTAAGTCGGTCTCCCCAGAACCTGAATCTGACTCTCCCTGATCCACCTGCTCCTCTGAAGACTCAGAATCCGCCTCAATCTCAATCGGATTATCTTCATCTCCCGACTCCAATGGGACCTCAATCAGCTCCTCTTCTTCTTGCTCCTCCTCCGGTTCTTCCTCGAGTTCTTCCTCTGGCTCTTCTTCCGGTTCCTCCTCGGGTTCTCCCTCAGGTTCTTCTTCGGGCTCCTCTTCTTCTAAATCCACGTCCATCGGATCGAACCCTGCTTGTGACTCTTCCGGCTCCGGTTCAGGCTCAGCCACCGTGGGTTCGGGTTCTGCAAGTATAGGCTGATGACCTGACTGTGCGAGGCTAGTATCGAGGCTGGTCATCTCACCATCAGGAGGAGGTATAGCCGATGGATCCCAATCTCCCACTCCATCGAAAAGGGCATCGAAACCACGAACCGGACCGAACTCGTCCATACCCTCCCGGAAACACCGGGCTGTATAAGTATGGGCTTGCCAAAGGGGTTGTCCTATATCTACCCAGACTACTATGGTGTGCTTAATCCAAGCCATATTGTCATCTATAGGGAACTCTACTACTGCATGATCGGTGTGCATGGGTATGCCAAAACGCTGAGGCGGTGGCGGTGAAGGATTCATGGTCCAGGCCGGGGTTCTGAAAATGTTTATTATACAACTATGAGACAAGTCTCAATAAACGAAACCCTAAACCCCACCTAGGCTAACACGTATCTCTGGGCATGTTCAAGCACACAATCAATCAGCAATTGACATGCTATAACATTCACAAGCACACTGGCCTTACCTCGGCACATGCACCACCCTGCACGTTAGTCCAATCATGATAACAAAACAGTCACCACAAAACACACTCATCCTCATAACATGGCCAATGTATGCACATGTATCATCGATAAACCGAACACTTTCCATTCTCACATTCGCCTAACAAACACAAAATCATACGATTCCCATTTCACTCGAGCACACACATCCAATTCATTTCTGACCCGCGTAAATACGCCTTAGGTCCACTTTCGATCCATGGTCCACGTACAACCATCTCATTTTCACAACACTCCTTAGCCCGCGTTACAGTGCACGCCTCAGGCTATGTCTCTTGCCCGCGTTACAGTACACGCCTCAGGCTCAACATCCTCCACCTACGGCACAACTCGCGTAAACGCATCAGGTTGGCGGTCTTCCGATAATACCGGGCATCGTCCCGCGTTATAGTGCACGCCTCAGGACGGGTTCAATTCCCTGCGTTACAGTACACGCCTCAGGGATTATGTGATCAAGCGAACACGTCAACAAACCACATTTTATCTGGACCCCATGTTACAGTACACGCCTCAGGGTTTTTAGTGATCACGCGCATGCCACATCACATGCCAATTTCATACGACCAACTCGCACACGACACCCACAGTATTCAAATCACCAACAAGCCACATCAACCCACAAATTCATCAATTCCAATTGCACAAGCTCAATTTAACACAACTTTCATATTCTAGGCCAATTTTCACCAATCAAGGGCGTCGCACTCATGCCACAAATTCCGATTCACTACATATAGTAATTTAAACATAAGCACGCCGCAATTCAGCCATAATAAGCACGTCAACTCAGCCACCACAGAAAAATCACTGAGCATCACATTTAGGCCCGTTTTTTATGTAATAATTTTCGATAATAACTCGTAATCATCCCGATCACCAACTTAATCCATTCTAACCTCAATTCCACCTCTACAATTATCACAAATCCATCCAAACAACTTAGCCAACTCAGTCCACTAATTTCTCCACGAATAACCCCTAAAACTCGCTAAAACGGCCCCGAACCAACCCGAAATTACCCGTTATCCTAGGCGAGATTTAGGATATCACTTACCCGGAGTCCTAAGCTAGATTTAGCAATCAAGGGTGACGGAACAAGGGAAAAACAGTAACGGCGGCGTCAACGAGCGGCGAGGGGCGCCGACTGCCTCACGGCGACCACGAACGGACGGCGGCGGTGACGTATGTGCGGCGGCGGCCAAGGGCGTGGCCGGCTGGTCACTTTCACGTGAGGGAGAGAGGGAGGGGGAATTCGGCCAAGAAGAGAGGGAGAGAGAGGGAGGCGTGAGAATGAGAGGGAGAGAGAGAAAGAGAGAGGAAAAGAATTATATAAGTGACACCAATAATTGGTGTCCTACCCCAAGCCAAACTTACCATCCTACCCCCCCTCTCAACTTTCCATCCAACGGCCAAGATTCAATCTTATCTAAAAATCGACGATCAAGATCAACTCTCACAAAAAATATCCAAGGGTAAAATTGGAATTTCACAAAAAGTGTAGGGGCAAAATCGTCCAAAAATTTATATCTCTAAAGTTGGTATGAAATGACCAAAATGCCCTTTTCACATTACACTTGGTCTTCACAAAATCCCAGGGGCAAAACGGTCACTTCCTGTGAAAATTTCAGTTTTCTGACGAATTCGGACAAATCCGAGGCTGACCACGTTAATAACGACATCGTCCAATTACTCTGTCGTGACTTTCAAAATTTTCAACATCCAAACTCAGTCTCTATTTAATGGCCAAACTCAAATAAACGCGACTTGAGCTTATCTCAAACTAACGGGCGGCTTTCAGGAAAATTCGTATATTCGACCCGTGGTCGATACTAAATCGAGCCACGTTTAAGTCCACTTGAGCCATGGTGACCTCGATTGTTATATAATTGCGAGGATCAATCACTAGTTCTAAAGAACGCGATCGTTTGGAATAGGTTTGAGATCGTTTGCTAACTTCGTATTCTGGCGAGGCGGAATCACCCGCGATCCAATTATACGACATTCGCAAATCGATCCATGACTATCCTTAGATCGGTCTATATTAGCCCAAAATATCACCTCAACAATCCTTATGGTCGAAGGTCAGTCCATGGTCAGGTTCTATGGTCGCATGAATCTAGATCCATGATTAGTCTTTCCTTACTGGTTAGTATCCCAAGAGTGATCAAGTTTGGGCGAGATTTACTACAAGTGCGTTATTGAAATTATGCATTTCATAAATACCAAGTGGGTCGAAATTTAGAATGTCACAACCGGTACTTCTATTATTGGGAATAATGAGCTCTGCGGCGGACTGTCAGAATTTCACCTCCCAAACTGCATCTCCAAAAGCTCCAAGAGCAAAAAGATCAATATAGTGATATTGCCCACTTCTATTATTTTCGGAGTTCTTGGAATAGCTCTTGTTCTAACTTTTATATATGTTTGTTGGTTGAAGAAGAAAGTAAATGAACCGGTTTCAAGTTCGATGAATGATTCACATTCGAACGTATCTTACGGAACACTCTTGAAAGTAACCGAAGGTTTTTCTTTAACAAATTTGATCGGTATTGGAAGCTTTGGTTCTGTTTACAGGGGGATACTTGGGGACAATGGAACTAGTATTTCCGTGAAGGTGCTTCATTTGGTCCGTCACGGTGCTCTGAAGAGCTTCATAGTCGAGTGCGAGGCATTAAAGAACATCAAACATCGCAATCTTTTGAAGATACTAACAGTTTGCTCAGGTAGTGATTATCAAGGAAATGATTTTAAGGCCTTGGTCTGTGAATTCATGGACAATGGAAGCTTGGAACGATGGCTCCAACCAAACGCAACATCATATCATCAAAATGAGCTCCCGAAAAAGTTGAATTTCATTCAGAGGATAAATATTGCTATTGATGTTGCTTCTGCATTGGATTATCTTCATCACTAGTGCCACGTCCCCATTGTTCATTGTGATATAAAGCCAAGCAATATCCTCTTAGATGCTGAGATGGTTGCACATGTTGGCGACTTTGGATTGGCGAAATTCCTTCCTGGATCATCCCCTGACAGCATTGCAAATCCGATGAGCTCAATAGGTTTTAGAGGGACAATTGGTTATGCTCCACCAGGTAATCTCTCTCTCCCTCTCTCTCTCTAAAACCAAGAAAATTTATTCACCTATAAAGGTTATTGATGGGTTTCTTGTTTGAAGTTTGGCAGCTTATGATAACTCTTATAGTCTTATACACATTGCATTTTGATTTGATAATTTGCACTCCAATTTGACCTACACCACGATCTAAATGTGTGGCAGAATATGTAATGGGATGCGAGGTTTCAAGAGAAGGTGACGTCTATAGTTACGGCATTCTCTTACTAGAATTGTTCACAGGGTTGAATCCCACCAATGACATATTCAGAGACAATTTCACTCTTCATAATTTTGTCGCGGAAGCATTGCCTGAACGAATGCTCGAAATTACGGACAAATTTCTGCTTCAAGAAAGAGAAAGCAATTTAGGCCCCTATAGTTCTTGGCATCAGCTTTCCCAAAGTGAAGACATATTTCAAGAGTGTTTGATTATGGTGTTCAAAATTGGAGTTGCTTGTTCATATGAAGTGCCTGGAAGTCGGATGAGCATCAGCCGAGTTGCAGATCAGCTTCATCATATTAGGGAGAAGCTCTTTAAATTGGCTTTAGATGGACAAGATGGACTACCAACAGCTTATATATAGTTGTTATCGTTTAGTGTCGTTTGTGCAAATGGAAGCGAACAGGTAAAATCTATAACTGAAGAGAGAAACGAGCATTCTTTTTCCCTCAAGATGACAGTTGATCCTTTATTCCCCATTTGTATCTGTACATTTTTAAACTAGCACAAGGCCTGTGGTGCACACATATTCTTGAGCATCGTGGATTTACTTAGAACCCTATTTTGGTGCTGCAGCATTTGAAAATGAATCCAAAACAAGTTGCCTTGCTTATGTTTTTCTTTTCTTTTCATTCGTATGACGCTCATGGCGACAAATTGCAATCAATTAGCTATTTGAAATTTTAATCAAAGGAAAGCTTGGTTTCTGCAGATTGACTAGGAATGGCTGCCCGTTGCTTCATTTCCAAATGATCCAAGGTCAGGAATTGAACTCTGTTCCTCAAGCTATGTTCAATCAGGTGGGGACAATACTGTTGCTCTGGCGGGTGAATAAGGATGTATAGCTTTCGGATTTGGCATTCTAGCATGCGGTAATTCGAGGATGCGTATCGACGCTTGATGTACGTAGCAAGAATTATCCCAAACTGCTTAGTAGAATAATGTAACTTGTGTGCATTGATCTTTCAAGGGGTGTAAGTGCAAGTTCTTCAGCATTTCGAATTCTGAAGTTTACCTGTCATTACTTTTATTTTTGCATTTTATCAAAGTTACTAAATCACTTCCTTACCAAAAAAAAAAAAGTTACTAAATCACTATGTATGCATGAACCTTACTATACATATGTCCATCGTGACTTTGCGTTTACAAGAATTCGTTGATCACATGGATAAGCAACTACTTGAGAGGGACAATCACAAGAAGAAATTACTAGCCACCAATCTGTCGTTTCGCGATGAGATGATAACTACATGGGGGGACAATCTCTTCTTCTTTAGGAAATCTCATCAAGTTGAATGTACGAGGTCTTGGTGGGAACAACTTTCATGAACGAATTCCTTCACCCCAATCTCAGTGGTTCCATAGCTCACTGGAGAAGAATTACACAATCGGTCTTAAACCAATTACAGATTTAAATTTAATTTTAAATATCTATTGAACCGATGTAGTTCTAAACCTTTGATTGAAAATGCAATCAAGTCTTCTTGGCCAGATCTCACCTGAAATTTCTGATGTAGCGGTCAAATTTTCCCCGATCATCCTACATATCACGACCGACAATTTGACTTGAACAATTTCGTACGAAATGAGCCGTTTTGCTTAGTTACTTGAATTTTCATCAACTCCATTTTGAACACTTCACTGAATCTTACAGGACCTACTAGACCTATGCGAGCTGAGTCAGTGGCTTCGTCTCTCCGGCGCCTCCTGCTGTGGCACAACCTATTCGGCTGAAGCTGATCCCTCATTGCGTGAGCCGCTGTGTGGCGCCGAAGCACGGCAACGGAGGATAAATCCTTTAAATTGCTAGCAATAGAGAGGCTGACCAAACATTTCTCAGAGGACCAAGGCCTTCGTCATCCTGATGACTACCATTTCCAGCTCCGACGAAGCCCTAATCAAAGCAAGCAACTGCAAGCAGTGTCTGTGCGTATGCGATTCGAGTTTTAGCTTCACTGTCGTTGTGAGCTCAAGGGAAGAGAATCGTCACTCGGTGTGGCCATGAGAGCCTCTCTTGTTTGTCAGAAAATTGGCATTATTTTGTGTAAATTTGTTCACGCCAAGTCGTTGATCGGGACACATAGGACGGCCCACGATGTGAGGTCACTTGGATTAGTGATCAGACAAAGGGATAATGCTTAACTCCCATTAAAATTGCTGACGTCATATTTGCGCTAATAAAAGGCCCCCAAGCCTCTCTCGTAAAAAAAAAAAAAGGGGAAAAATTCCAAATAAGGACTCGAAGTGTTCTCATTTTCTCAAATAAGAACTTGAAGTGCACTATGTGTTAAATAAGGACCTGAAATGCTACCTTTTTCTCAAATAAGAGCCTGAAGTGGTTATAACAATTTCAAAAAAAAGCCTCACCCTGCCGGCTCGCCAGCCGGCCAAATTTTGCGGCCGATCAAGGGCATTTTCGTCTAAAAATAAATATAAATTAAATTAAATTAAAAATTTTGAAATTTTTTTTAAAAAAATAAAAACTGGGAGGGCTGGCAGCCCTCCCCTACCTGTGGTCGCTGGCCCACTGTGGCCGCCAGGGTCGCCGGTGCTTCAATGAGGGCCGGCGACCCTCGCCAACCAGAGGTGAGGGCTTGGTGGTCCTCGCCCAAGTCGGCGGAAGGGCCGCCGGCCCTGTCTGGGAGAGGGTCGCCCAACCCTCTCGGTTCTGGCAAGGGCCACCAGGCCGTTGCCTCTGCTCGGCAGTGGTTGCCGGTCCTTGCTGAAGCGCCGGCGACCTTGCTGGCCATGGCCGCCACCCCACCGGCGATGGGGCGGCGGCCACAGTGGGCCGGTGGCCACAGGCAAGGGAGGGCTGGCCCTCCCCTTGTTTTTTTTTTTGAGTTTGTTTTTTATGGAAAAATCACAAAAGGAAAGAAAGAAAGAAAAAATTAAAAGACGAAAATGCCCTCGACTCCGGTAATGTTAGGCCCTTTTTTGAGACTGAGATAGCCAATTCATATCCTTATTTGAGACAATGTTCACTTCATGTCCTTATTTGAGAAAATGAAGGCATTTCAGATCCTTATTTGACGTAAAGTTCACTTCAAGTCCTTATTTGAGAAAATGAGAACACGTCCAATCCTTATTTAAAATTTTCCCAAAAAAAGAAAAGAAAAAGACATCGCAGAGGTGCACTTTTTGGTTTTTCCTTGTCTATTCTTTTCATGAAATAAAGCTTTCAGGTGTCAGAAAATTAAGAAAAGAATAATGAAAATTAATTGAACTTCGAGGGTTCCATTGTGCTGCCTATGGAAATTCCTTTTGGCTCACATTTTAAATAACCAAAAAGGGACACGGAATACATTTCCCAAATTAATAGTGGTTAAATTGAAAGCAAGGAATGTGTCAAAACTACCAACGCAACATTGCTTGCAACCCTTCAGCCCTTTATACAAGTGGGCTCAGATTAGGGGTGTCAATAAAACCCAGGCCGGCCCGGCCCGGCTCGACCCGCGCCGATCCGGTCCGGCCCTAAAATTTGGGGTATTTTGGGGTCGGGCCTTAATCTTCTTCGAATATGGCCCTAAAATTTGGGATTTCGTTAGGGTTGGGTAGGGTCAGGCCGACCCATTAACACTCTGGGCCTGCCCATCTCCCTCTCTTAAACTCTCAGTCGGCAATCGCCTCGCCGTCGGACGCTCTCTCGTCTCTACCCCCGTCGATCATCTCTCTGCATCCTTCGCTCGTCGCCGTCGCCGTCACCATCGCTCGAGGTCGGTCTCTCTCTCTCTCTCTCTCTCTCTCTCTAGCTCTGCAACGCCTCTGTTAGGGTTCGCCTCTGTTGTTATCCTTTTCGCTCCGCTTGCCCTAGCGTCCTCGATCTGCTCCCTTTTGCTCCGCGATCGCTTGCGTTCGCGAGCTCCCGCCCTTCCGTTCGCGCTCCGGCGAAGGGAACGAATTGCTTGTACAAAGCAGCTGCGGAGCGTGGTATCAATCGCGTTCTGCGGATTTCGTGTGTGTTGGGTGTCTCTGATTGGGTGTCTAAATTTTGGGTTCAGGTGATAGTGCCGGACAAGTGGAAGGACGGAGCCAGCAACACCACCGAGGGCGGCGGCCGCAAGATCAACGAGAACAAGCTCCTCTCCAAGAAGTCCAGGTTACACCCTCTCTCTCTCTTTGTCCCTTTCCCTTTCTCTGGAAGACGAATTTCCATGGAGTTGTTGTATTGCGCTATCGCGAACTAGCTGTGGTTGTTAACGGGTGTGACTTTTGTGGGTCGATTTCGTTTGATAGAATTGTGCGGTGGGGATTTCTGTCATGTCTGGAGGAGTTGGAGCGGTTGCAGTTTGCTCAGCTTTATGCAATTTCTGTTGTGGAAGTGGTATGAGTGGTGCAATATGATTAGTAATTAAGTGAGAACTTTTGTTGTTATTGCCCCCCGTATGCCGGTCGCAATATCTTCATCTGTGTTAGGTCGTTGAAAGAACGAAAGCGAGAAAGTTCCTTGGAATCATCTTAAAAACTGGAGGTGGGAAGAGATGAGTAAAATGTATTCATCTTTAATTAGTTTGTGATTCTAGATTGCAGGGACTTTCCCTTCAAAATAGTAGCCTTTTCTGTACCCTTTATCTGAAGGATATGACGATTCTGAAAATATGGTTCTTTCTTTGTGTCCACTAGCCATCAATATAACGTGAGGTGATGCCGTCGCCATTGTTACTATATACATCATGCATGCCATTGGGTTCAAGAAGTTTACTGTTTGGGGAAGTTATGGAGCAGTGTTTGGTCTTGATTTTACCTTATCTCTTGCGGATTGCAGAATCATCAGCTTGAAGAGAATGTCTTCCATATAATGAAATTATTAGATTTACTTCTTTCTCTTACTTTCTTTTACAGTTTTATGGTGCTCGTTTGATTGATTTTTGTCTTAGTGAGAAACCTGAAGTTCTCTTTTCTCCTTTGCCTAGCACAAAAGGCCAAGTCCACAAAGTTGTAGAGATCGCGGGTTTAGAAATCTACTGCAACTCCTCCAATGGTGCTTCGAGTTTGACGATCAGGGACAATGCTGGAGACAATCAATGCCTGGGCAATGCTAATTGTGAAAGCAATCAGTTTCACCCTATTCTAGCACCACTGAATGTGTCAGTGTCACTTTCGGTATGAGTTGTTATTATCTTGCCTATCTTCTTTCTCTAGACACAGGAGTATTTTCATGTCGAGCCCGTCATTTATGCACAAATTTGGTCTTTCTTGATGCTAATAAATGTGGCATTGAATGACCTAAAGGACCCGCAAGATGTTAAATGCACACAGTTTTTCTTTCATCATTGGCCTGACTTTTTTAACCATTCTTGAAATAATTGATTTTCTAAACCATGTGCAGCATAAAAATGGTATCCCAGTTTCTGATAGTTATGCATGTTTGTCAAAGTAAAAAGAATCTTGTTCATGTGT